CATTCTGACTGCTGGAGATGAAATCCCAACATCATTTTGATATGCATTTCCTTTCAAACTTGCAATTTTTGATCATTTCTTCAAGTATTTACTGATCATTTGTACTTCTTCATTTGAGAAGTGTCTGTTCAGAAAGTTACTGCCTATACTGCTATGTTCTAAAGTTGTTCCCAATTATTTTTTTCAAAGATGTAGGCCTTGCATTAAGATCTTTGGTCAACAGACCTGACTAGCACAGGGGGAGTAGGGGACCTGAACTCAGTTTCCCATGTATGGATATAGTCTTTCTGGCACCATTTGTCCAAAGGCCATCTTTTTTCCAATGTACATTCTGGGCACCTTTGTAAAAAATCAGATGCGTGAAGCCTCATGGATTTATTTCTGCATCTTCTATTTTGTATCCTTGGTTTTCATGACTCTTTTTGTGTTATTACCATACGGCTCTAATTACTATGGCTCTGAAGTATAATTTAGAGACTGGTATTGTATTTTGATAGTGCCAACATTGCTTTTATTTTTTTTCTCAAGATTGTAATTTGAGGTCTTTTGTGTTTCCAGGTGAAGTTTAGAACTGACTTTTCTATTTCTGTGAAGAATGACATTGGGAATTTGATGGAGATTGCATTGAATTTGTAGGCTGCTTTCCATATTATAGCCATTTAAGTTTTTTACCAGCTTGCTCAGAAAAGCTGCTTTTTGTATGCTGATTGTTTTTATCCGGCTACAAGGTCAAAATTGTTTAGCAGATCTAGAAGTCTGAGGTGAGATCTTTAGTATATTTAGGTATTTAGTTATTGGCTCATAGCATCTGCAGACAGGGGGTCCTTTGACTTCTTTATTATTTGGATTAGAAAAGATCATTTTTTGTTATTATTGTTATTTTTGTTATTATTGTTGTACAGGGGTTACCATTTCATAAGACTACATTTATTTTTTTGGACAGTGTCACCCCCTTCCTTTGCTTTCCCCCAGGTATCCCGTCCCATCCTACCCACAAGTTACAAATGCAAGCTATTGGCATTTTCCACATAATGTACAGTCAATAACACAATTGGATTTTTTGTGTAGGGGGGGTATGGAGCTTGAACTCAGGGCCTGGGTGCTGTCTCTGGGCTTTTTTCCCCCAAGGCTAGAACACTACCACTTCCTGTTTTCTGAGTGGTTAATTGGAGAGAAGAGTCTCATGGGCTTTCCTGCCCAGGCTGCTTCAAACCATGATCCTCAGATCTCAGCCTCCTGAGTAGCTAGGATTATAGATTATATGTGAGCCACCAGCACCTGGTTTGATTGGACATTTTTTAAAAAATTCTTTCTGTTGCCTATTGCCCTGATTTGGAATCCCAGTACTATATTAAATTAGATAGAATGGAGAGGAAATGACTTCACTTTTCTTCAATTTAGTTAGTTTGTCATATATTGGCTTTACTATGTTTAGGTACATACCTTCTGCTTTTAGTTTATTCAAAGTTTTTTTTATGATGAACAGATGCTAACTTTAGTTAGAGGCTTTTTCTGCATCAATTGAGATGATCACATGATACTTTTATCTTTGATTCAGTTAATGCACTATATCATGTTTCTGGATTTATATATGTTGAACTAATCTTACATACATGGAATGAAACCAATACAATCATGGTGTATTATCTTGTGGTGTGTTGTTAAATTCAGTTTGAACATATCTCACTGAGAATTTCTGTATCAATTTTCATCAAAAAGATTGGCCTATAATTCTCTTTTTTGTTGTGTACTTGTCTAGTTTTGGAATCAGTATAATCTTGGCTTCACAAAATTAGTTTGGAAGTGTTCCTTTCCTTTCTATTTCACAGAAAATTTAAGGAATGTTAGTGTTCCAATTTTCTTTAAAGGTCTGGTGGAATTTAGCCAGTGAATCCATCAGGTTCTGGGTCTTTCTTTGTTTTGAGGCTCTTTATTTATTACTCCTTCAAACTCATTACTTCTTGTAGACCTATTTTGGTGACATACCCTCACTTTTGATCAAATAAATCTTAGAAATATATCCATTTCTTCTGCATGTCCCAGCTAATTTGAATACAGGCTTTCAAAGTATCCCCAGGCAATCTCTGGTTTTGGTGGTATTTGTTTTGAAAGCTTGGTTCTCATCTCTGCGTTTACTTCTTTAAGTCTTTTACCTCCCCCTCTGAGCTAAGGGTTCATCGGCTTCCGTCGTCTTTTCAAAGAACCAACTTTTCATTGCATTGTATAGGGTTTTTTTTTGTTGTTCCAATTTAGTTCTTCCCTAATCATTATTACTTCTTTCTAGCTACTAATTTTGAGTTTGGCTAGTTCTTGTTTTTTTCTTTCCTAGGAGCCTGAGACACATCAGGATATTTACTTGAGATTGCTATCCATCTAGAAGATCTATATCATCTAGATCTAGATATATATGCTCATAGCCATTGCTGTGTCCCAAAGTACTGACGGGCTGTGTCTCATTCTGGGAACTTTGGGGATTTCTCCCGTATTTCTTCAATGACTTACTAATCATTCAACAAATTGTTGTTCAATATCCATGTATTTGAATATTTTCTGAAGTCTCTTTTGCTGAATTCTACTTTTGTACGATTATAGTCTGATAGAATGAAGAAAGTTGTTCAGTGCTTCATGCACTGAACTATGATCTGTTTTGGAGAACATTTCATGGCGCTGTTGCAGGAAACTTTGTAGATGTGTGACAAGTCCATGTGGTCTATAGCATTATTTCATTGTGAGGTTTCCTTGCTTATTTTTTTTCCTTTCTCTTGGTAGCAGTGGGGTGTTGAAGCCTCCCACTATAACTGTGTTGGGTGTGGAGGGTCCTTATGTACTTTTAAAGTCCACTAGTGTTTGTTTAATAAAGTTGAGTGCACTGATATCAGTGCAGAGATGTTAGCCATTGTTATTTCCCTCTGATGGATTGTTCCATTTATTAATAGGAGGTGACTTTCTTTTTCTCTTCTGACTTTGGTCTGAAGTCTACTTTCTCAAGTAACAATATTTACTTCTGTTTGCTTCCAGGGTCCATTTGCTTGTTAGATCTTTATGCACCCTTTTATCATATGCCAATGAACTTTAGTGTAGGGTACAAATGATTGGGCCATGCTTTTTAATCCAACTTGCCTTCAGAGAATTGAGACCAATGTTATTTTTGAGAGCTACATTGTAATTTTTGCCATTTTGTTGTTTTATAGTGTTTGATTCTTTCCTATTCTTCATTTGCTTAGCTCATTTGGTGGGATTTAATTTCCCTCCATTGTCATGGTTATGTTTATCTTCCTCTTCCATGTGTACAATTCCTTTCAGTAACTTCTGCAGTGATGGTTTATTGGTTGTAAATTATGTTAGTTTTTGTGGATCATTTACCCATCAGCTATAACTGACAGCTTTGTGGTGTTAGCGGCTAAGATGCTGGAGCTGTGTGGTGTAGCTTGTTTAGAGTTGGCTCTCGGATTTACTGTCATGTCACCTAACCTCTCCATGCATTACCTTGCCTCCGTATCTAACCTCTGCCTGCCTCATCTTGCCTCCTCCATCTCTAATCCCTTTAGGCCTCAGTTCCCTCACCTTAAGACTGAGAGAACAGCACCTAACTGGTGGAGCTGTGTGGAGATGGACAGAATACCCATAAGACACTGAGACTACTACCCGGTTATGGGAAGCCTATCAAAGGGCTAGCTAGGATGGTGACCAAGTTAAGGAAACATAAACTACATATGTTTTAATTTCTAGGAAGAACACACCACACTGTTCTCTTTTTTAAAAAATGTGATCCAATTGTGTAGCTCAGGTTGACCTTGAATTCATGATCCTCCTGCCTCAGTCTCCCCAATGTTGGAATTATAGCCGTGAGCCACCACATATCTAGATGATTATAAAATTGTTTCTATCCTCGCATACCCTCTGATGCAGCCACTCTTTTTTACATTAATGAAAGGTCTAGAATGATGTTCACCAAATGTTGCCTTTGATGTTGCTGACTTTCCTTTTCTTCTCTCTTTCTCCTCCTTCCTTCCTTCTCTTCTTTCCTACTTCCCTTCCTTTTTTCCTTCTTTCTTTCTCTCTCTCTTTCTCTTTCTCTCTCTTTCTTTCCCTTCCTTCCTTCCTTCCTTCTTGCTTACTTGCTTGTTTTTTTCTTTCTGGTGTGCACTACCTTGCTCAGCTATTGGAGATGGGTCTCATGAAGTCTTTTTCCCAGGTTAGTTTCTAACTGTGATCCTCTCAATTTCTGATTTTCAAGTAGCTATGAGTACATGTGGGAGCCACCACACTAGGCTCTACTATCCCTGCAGATCAATATGCGTATGTATTTCTATACCAGTGCCACATCTTATCATACCTTTCCAAAATGCTTTACTTGTAGGAGGGTTGGCCTTTTATTATATATATACACACACACACACAAACACACTATACACACACCATATATATGGTACACACCATATATGTGGTACATATATATGATGTATATATACATTATATATGTTCACACATATACCATATATTGTATATATGCCATATATATACCATATACATACCACATATATACAACGTATACACATATACCATATATACATATATGTTTATATATAGCATGTGTGTGTGTGTGTGTGTGTGTGTGTGTGTGTGTGTGTGTGTGTGTGTACTCAGCTGTAGTAGGATATGGAATTTTCCAATCTAATAATTAGAGAAGACCTCTTCATTTCTTCAAGTTTCCTTTTGTGTTACTAACCAAGTCCCAGGATTTCTTTCTATGAGTTTTTTATACTTATAAGCATGCACATGGAAGCAGCATGGAGGTTTCCTTAGAAATGACTTTCCCCTCCTATCTCCACTGTGAACACACACGGTTGCTAGGAGATGGAGGCTGCCTGCAGTGTGAGGATTTGTGGGTAGGATCAAAACACATTTTAGAAATAGTGTCAGGACGTGATGGATTCCATGTTGTCTACTCTGCTGAACTCACACTGCAGATGACTATGCCTTTAGGAAGATATTCTTACCTCTTGGCTAAGGATATTTTGAATGTCACTCAAGGAGCAATTTTTCCACATATCTTCAGATAACTCAGAATTGATTAGTTCACTCTTGGAACTTCTGGTTGAGTGACTCTCCCTTGGGATCTCTGGGAAAACAAAGTAACTCTAGTTGATCTACACTGTTAAAGGTACCTTTAAATATCTCCCCCTTAACTGCCACTGAGTGGATTTAAATAGTCCCTCCCCTTAACCACCACTGGGTATGTTTAAATATGTTCTCTCCACAACCATCAGAAACCAGAGAAAGGATGAACCATCTAGTAACTTGTATTGAGATACAATTTATTTGTATAAATATTGAAGAAAAAACAATTAATCTTCAGCAGATAAACCCTTGATAGAATGAAATGTACACGAAATAGAAAAATAAAGCTAGTAGAAGAAAATTACAGTTAAAATAGTAGAAAATTAAAAGTGACTATTGGTATAGTACATAATCTTTAGCATGAATTTTCCAAGGAAAACATTAAATCCACAAGTTATTTAACTAATGGTTAGATCCAATAAGAATATCACATATAGCTGAAAGAAAAATGAGGGGGGAAAACTTGTTTTAATGTTAATTTTTAAAATATATTAGTGACCCTTATGAACCAATGAACCAATGAGATGGATATAAATATCTTGTAGAATATCTACATTAGAAACTGGTGACTGAGGCTGGGCACCGGTGGCTCACGACTATAATCCTGAAATCTGAGGATCACAGTTCAAAGCCAGCCCAGGCAGGAAAGTCCATGATACTCTTATCTCCAATGAACCACCAGAAAACTGTAAGTGGCACTGTGGCTCAAGTGATAGAGTACTTGCCTTGAGCTAAAGAGTGCAGGGACAGCACCCAGGCCCAGAGTTCAACCCCCACAACTGACAAAAATACAAACAGTTAGTACATTTTCTACATACATGTCATATGGATTGGGATTAGAGAGAAAGCTGACTACCAGTTCTGGCTTTATATACACACTGGTGTGTGAATCCTCACACGGTCTTCTAGCACTGCATGCTAGAACATGGAACAACTGGCTCACACAGCAAATGAAAATGGACATTGACATTTCTGCACTGTTCATAAGAGAAAAAACTTGAAGCATTCTGAATACCAAGTAATGGAGAATGAGTCTTATAAATCAGAGGATTACCCGAATTATGAAGTGGTGCATGGACATCAAAAACAAAGACATGTGTGTAAACAATTTTCCTGGAGATACATTGCTTCATGATTGTAAGCGTGATGTGATTTATTTTTATTTTTATTTTTTTGTCAGTCGTGGGGCTTGAACTCTGTGCCTGGGCGCTGTCCCTAAGCTCTTCAGCTCAATGTGAGTGCTCTACCACTTGAGAGACACAGCGCCACTTCCAGTTTTCTGAGCAGTTTATTGGAGATAAGAGTCTCACGGACTTTTCCTGCCCAGGCTGGCTTTGAACTGTAATCCTCAGATCTCAGCCTCCTGAATAGCTAGGACAGGCGTTAGCCACCAGCGCCCAGCTTCATGATGTGATTTCATGTTCATTTTTGACACTGATGTTTTAAGTCTTCCTATCGCCTTACCCATCTAGCTATGTAAGAACCAGGAAACAGGATTCCAGGAGGGCAACACACACAGCAGGAAGTGACAGGGCTCTGGAGGTAGCTTTCAAGGGATTGTCATTTTATGTTTTTATGTTTCCCAGCTTTTGTCAAATAAGCATGCATTACATTTTAAGAGAAGAGAATAAGATAAATCTAAAGTATAGCCATTTTCTTTTTCAAAGTTGACTGCAAAGAATCACAAATGGTTTCCCAGATTTATTTCCTAAAATGTCTGCAAATAAGCTTCAGCGAAATGAAGCACACTTAATTCAGCTGCAGCTCACAAACTGCCAGTCATCTGGTATCTCATTTCCTATCTCCAAAAGAAAAAAACCCAAACCAAACAAAAGCAAGTCTCCCTTAGTGGCCCCTCTGGGCTACATAATAAAACATAACACCATCCTCTCAAGCTCCATGTGGAATGTTCCAGCCTTGGGTGCTTGGAACAAGAGAACTAGGAATGGACAGAGCCAGGCTCTGACCTGGTCAAGCTAGCCCTGGGCTCTGCGCCAGCTTTCTGGTACTGCATCCTATTCTCTGTGTGTGCTGGAATTCTAAGACAGAAACATACACGTGTGCACATGCACACACACACACACACACATGTACGCATGCATGCATACATGCACAGTACCCTAAGGCAGCTGGGCTCTGGGGGATGGAGAAGTGGGCATCCACTGGAAACCTGCTGTCTGGAACCTTGAATGGGGTTAGGATTTAGTTTTGTATCCTCTGTGACTCCCTCTCAACAAGGTTTGTGCAATCCCCACTACCTCTGCCTTCCTTTCTTTGAAAGGAGCCCTCCACCCCCGCCCCTTCCCCTCTGCCTAATTATTTTTGGTGCTCAGCATGGAACTCAGGGTCTTGCCCATGGAAGTCAAGTGCCCCACCACTGAGCCACATGTCACAAGTCCCTCTCAAAAGGACTCTTGCTGATTCCAAGGACACAGAAGAAACACAAAGCCAGGCCCATCCAAAATGCAGCTAACAGGAGATTCACCCAAGAGATTTCTTAATGTACCTAAATAGACAGTGCCTATGATGTCCTGGCTCCACAAGGATGCAAGTGTAGTGGAAACAGAAATACACAAACTTAATAGGAAATATTGTTCTATATTTAGAAAAGTCAAAGATAACAAGTTGCTCCAACTACAGACAGCGTTACAGAGTAAGAATATCACTGGCTCTGTAAACAGCTCTGAGTTCATCAAGACATTTTTTAAAAATTTTACATACAGCAGGGAAATGCTATCATTCATCATTTACAGTGGGAGTTCATAACTAGAGACGGATGTAAAGAACTATGTGGAATTGTGCTTAACCATGAAAGTAAAGCATTTGAAATAAATGCAAATAGGTGAAGTACATTTTGTGATTTTCCCACTCAAGTATATTTTCCAAAAATGCTACAGACATCATAGAGACAACAAAGAATATGAAGATACTGGGTGCTGCGCTACAAGAATTGGAGGTGATGTGCCTCCACTACTGTATGGGTGCCCCAAGGCCTTTCCCAAAACGAGTTCCAAAGTCAGTGACAGACACAAGGGGGACACAGGACCAAGGGAGCATCCCTGAAGCTGGACAAGGCTACCTGCCTGTGACTACTGCCTCTGCCACTGCCCAAGCCACACACTCTCTGCTTCTGTCTCCTCACTGGCAAAATGACAGGGGAGAGAGTACCTGTGTGCACATGACCTGTCACAGGTACTGGCCTGAGCCATCACGTGCACACACAGGAGCTATCACGTGCACTCACAGGAGCTATCACGTGCACTTGCCTGGCTCCTGGCAGACACTCAAGAATATCAGCTGTAGGTCCATGACTAAGAAATTTCTTTAGTAAAGGGACATCTGGTAGGACAGTAGCAACCCAAGTAAGAAAAACTCAGAAACTAGATGGCAGAACTCAAGAAAAGAAAAAAAGAACATTCACACTATAAAGTACAGTGCTATTAACTATAGTCATTATAAAACCTTCCAGCCACATGCCAAAAACATACTGATAGGAGATGGCAGGTGTGTGAGTTAACTTGACCTGGGTAATCACTTCAGTGTACATGTGTATCAAAACATCAGAGTATAGACCTCAAACACAGAGTATTTTTCTTTGTTGATGATACATCAGCAAAGCTGGAAATGAATCATTCTAGACATGAAGACTAAACAAAAAGAGGCACAAGAATAAACAAATACAGCAGAAATAGAAGATGAAGTCAGAATTATATCAAGTAAGAAGGGAGAGAGGAAGAAAGGAAGACCTAGAGGTGAAATGGGACATGCCAAGAGCCCCAGCTGCTGGTTCCTTAATCTAGAATGTCCACAAAAGAGCTTTGCTGCTGACTGAAGGATTTGAAGCCAATGACAAAAGTTATAGAGTTGGTATTCAATGGGAAAAGAAGCTTGAGTATGACATTTTCCAAGCGGATCTTCAGGACTTGGGGGAGGCAGACAGGTACGGGAAAAGGCCCCTGCTGTGGAATGAGCCAGGAAGGAGGCAGCAACAGGAAGTTAAGAAAGTGTGGCATCTGGGATGCAGAGGAGAAGCCTGCTGAGAGGTCTTACACCTGATCAAATCAAAGACGCCTTTTGTTGTAAGAGGCACTGTTACTTTATGTGTTATAAACAAAGAAAGCTAGCTGCCAGTGGTAGATACAATGTGTGTGGCTGGGGGGGGGGGGGGGGTTGTGTTAAACTGAAACTCTATTAGGTATACACTAAGAAGAACATGAAAGAGAAAATTATAGAAATTACAGTTGTATTATAGAGGTTGCCCTCTTATAGCACCTAATAAGCAAAAGAGGAAAATACGAAACAAAACAAAATAGCAAAATAATGCTTAATATGAGCAGCCAGAGTCTTTGCTTCCAATGATGGCAGATGAGCTCTTATTAAACCAAAATCCTTGGCAGATAACAATTATAAAATACAAACAACCACATCTGAAGGCCCTGACGGGAGTTGAGAGCAGACCCCAGTGGAAGTACACACTGGAACTGTGACTCATACTCAATCCCCTATTACCTGGCTTTGTGCGGAGGGGCAGCTTCAGCCAGAGAGTTGCTAGGTGGCTAACCCTGGGCTATAAATCTGGGTCAAGACTATGTCTTGAGCTGGGAAAGAGGGATGGAAACCATCAAAGACAGGCATGAAGAGGGGCTCAGAAATCCAGGGATAAACTGCCCAAATCTCTTGCTAACCTCTGAAGTCCAATGCACAGCAAGAGCAGGCTGTCCAGTGATGAGACAAGCACAACCCGGACATCAGCCGCCACCCTGCAGCTGGGCCACATTTAGAGTATGAGCAGTCGAGGAGACTGGCTTCTAGAACAAAAACTCAAATTCTGCAAAGGAGCATGAAATAATCCATCATCCTTATCACACAAAATTTACAACTGCCAGACTAAATTCCCAAGCTACTAGAACAGCAAACTGTGATCAATATCCAAGAAAAATAAGCCAAAATCAATGAAAAAATGAACCCCTGCAATGAGTTGGAATTAGCGGACAAATATTTTCAGAGTATTTTAATATTCCTTAAAATTTAAAATAAGTGTTTGAGAATATATAATCATAATGAATGAAGATGGGAAATCCCAACTGAACACCAAAACCCATCGCCATGTATTGTGAGTTTACTGTGACTGTAAGAGCCCCACGTGGAACAGCAACCTGGCAGGGACAAGACTGGGGACATGCTGCGGTCAAGTCCTTATACCTCCCAGACTACCTACAAGTAGCTGCTGAGAACTCAAAGATGCAGAGCATAAATGTAGAACAAACACAAAAACATCTGAGAACAAAACACGTCAGTAGAGATATAAGATGGAATAGGAAATGCTCAATTTACCCAAATTTCTTTAAGTGAATGCATGCTATACAGGACACAAAGGGAGAGACTGAGAAGGAAAAGGAGGAGGAGAAGGAAGAGGAGGAGGAGGAGGAAGGAGGAGGAGGAAGGAGGAGGAGGAACAGAAGGCAAAGCACCGGCTTTGCAGGAATATGTAAGCCAAGATTAAAAACAATGACAGGATATCTTATAAGTACATGAATACAGGAAAATAAGAGCTCAAGATGATGAGGTGATAAAACAATAAAACTAGATGAAAAACAAGAGTGGAGCTAAGCAAACATTATGGAACTAACAAGCCAATTAGAAGCAGCAACAAGGAAGGGAGCAGACCCGGTGGGAGCTGAGTGACATGTAGAAGAGGCACTGTGAATGCAGAGGGAAAGGACGGGGGACAAGGCACTTGCAGGGAAGACACAGCTACAGGAAACAAAAGCAGTCCAACATGGGGACTATTTCTACCTAGAAAATGAGAGCTGGAGGTATGGTTGGTGTGTGGCTCATGTGATTGAGTACCTGCCTAACAAGCACACGGCCCCAGTGTGCTAGTTGAAACCCTAGTGCCACACAATAGAAAAAAAAAATGGAAATTGAATGATTTATTCAAAGATATGTTACTTTTTTAAAAAAAAATTCACTTTAGAGTGAATTGAATTTTTAAATTAAAAATATATTTACTGTATTTGGAGAAGTCCCAGGCTAGGTTACTAAAATCCAGTGATTAAAACATCTTTTAAAAATGGAAGAAAACACTGCAGATGGTGTTTGTGAATTGGCAGAATTAAAGTTGCAAAACTGTGTATATTACCAAAGTGATGTAAAGGTTCAATGCAATGATATTCTTCACATATACAGAAGAATCAATTCTAAAATTCATATGGAGGCACAAAAGACCCCAAATAGTCCAAACAAAGCTGACCAGAAAGAGCAATGCTGGAGGTATCACAAGACCCAATTTCCAGTTATATTACAAGGTGGTTTGGGAGGGTGACGGGGACTGAAATTGATTGGAATACATTGTGGAAATCTCACACTGAACAATTTTTGTATAGTGTATGCTATAAAAAATTTAAAAAAGAAAACAGCATCTTAGCCATTCTGATAAAGATCTACCCATTCAGCCTCTGAATCAACAATCCTTTAGCAGGTAATCCTAAGAAAAGTAAGGAAACCCATCCACACTTGCCCAGGACTACTCACAGAAGCTATGTTCGTAAGACTAGACTTGAACCCAGGGATGGTGACACAAACCTGCCATCCTAGCACAGGGGAGTCCCAGGCAGGAGCCCAGCCTGGGCTACAGAGAACTTATCTCAAAAACAAACCCTGGAAACAGCCCTGAAAACCGTCTGATGAAAAAGGGGAAGAGGGTAAACCAAGAGAACAAGAACAAATTGTCAACTTAGTTAACAGATGAATATCTTAAAAACACATTGAGAAAAAGAAGATTAAAAAATATGGTATTGTATGTTTGCACCATGATTTCATTTAATTGGAACTCTAGTGATATAGAGATTAACATAAGCTGTGAGTTGTATAGACAGAAACGAGACAGCAGCTGTCTGACAAAGAAATCTTTTGGTGGTGGAAATGGTTTTATTTTACCTGTGGTGTTTATTACATGGTTGCTGCATTGATCAGAATTGATCAAACTGTAAAAACACTATACTACAGAGCAATAGTAACAAAAACAGCATGGTACTGGCACAAAAGCAGACACACAGGCTAGCGGAACAGTTGGCCTACAAGTGGACCCACATTGCTACAGTGTCCTGACTTTCAACAGAGGTGGCACAGAGCCACTTGGAGAGATGGCTTCTTGGACAAATGGTGGAGGGAAACTGAGTTTCCACTTGTAGCAGACTGAAACTAGACTCTGAGCAAAAAAAAAACACTTGAAATGGATTTTTAAAAAACCTAAATGTAAAGAGGTTAAAAAAAAAAAACTTTAAGCAACTTTCTTACTACAACTCTGACAACTCAGGAAGTATGAAACTTCATCAAACTAAAATGCTCCTGGACAGCAAAGTAAACAAGTACCAGAATAAGGAGGCAGTCTACAAAATGGACTGGAAGAAAGAAGGAAAGGAAGAAAGGAAGGAAAGGAAGAGAGGGACAGAGGAAGGGAGGAAGGAAGGGAGACATGAAAGTAGAAGAGATAGTAAATTACCCCTTCTAGACAGTAGACTATCTAGGTGGTAGTATATCTAAGTGACAGGAGACTAGGTGATGGCAGAGTATCTAGGTGATAGGAGACCATTTGGGAGGAGGAAAGGAGTTAGGAGATGGGAGATAAATGGGATAACTATGACCAAACATGCATGAAAATGTAATTATGAAACTATTTTGAACAATTAATGTACACTAATAAAAATGAACAGAAAAAATTAACAAAGCGCTTTAGGCTGCCGGGAAGAGAAAGTTAAACTCTAAGTGGACCTTGGACCTGTCCACAGCTGGACCTCCGCCAGCAGGCCAGGAGTGAAAGTCCACAGCATTCTGAAAGGGCAAGTGTGCTGCAGACCAATGTCCAGCCCAGGTGCGGCCACCGTTTTCTTGTTACAATGCAATTTCTATTCTGATTCTCTCGTGTACGAGTAATTCTTACATAAAATCTACATGAACTCATTTTTTGCAAGTGCATTTCTGTCTCTCTGTCTCTCCTTTCCATTTATATGCAGGGGAAGATGCCAAGAATAAGGCTGGCAGTGGTTATTTCTGGGTAGTGGGACTGGTTTGATGGTTTATTTCGATCTCTTGCTCATCCCCATTAGTAGCAGCCTCACAGCCTGCTTGGAACAAGACGAGATGATAAAGAGCAAGTCTAGCCTAGTGCCTGATGGGGCGGCTTTACAGAGTCCTGCAGTCTGCTACAAGCAATCTGTGTGAGCAAAACCAGGCTGAACCTGAGCATCTGTCATTGTTCAGCCTACAAACCACAGAAGGGCTCCATAAGTATTCACTGAACTAAGTTGCATCGGACACGTATCAAGTGCTGACTATGCCAGTCCCGGGGAGAGAATGCCCTGGGCAGGGAGCCCCATGCTAAGCCCGCTCACAGCAGGAAAAGACGCAAGTGGGGCTGTTGTCTCAAGACAACTGGACCCCTGCTCCCTCCAGCTACTCTAGAGCCAGATCGCTCTGCACATGGTCAGGACAAACTGAGCAGAGAAGAGTCTCCATCTCAGGAGTCCATGCCTGGCTTTCCACAGCTAATTGTCAATTACTCAACACTGGGACCTTTTACAACGAGACTTTTTCCCACTACAAGAATATGTTCTTTCTCAAACTGTTTCAAAATAGGTACCAGAAAGAAGAAGGTCAAGACATCTCCCTTAATGATACTCTGCGAGAGCTGGGGGTGGCCCCTGTGGGAAGCCGCCCTTCCAAGCAGCTCTCTGGAGCTTGGGGCTGTGCAGTGGCGCCCATACCCTTTTCTGTTGTTCACTGCTTGTATTATTCTTATAAATAATGACAGCATGGCCATTTTCCATATTTGGAAGCACTGCCTGAGAAGAAGAAAAGGCCCTTGTCATCTTTAGCTGTATACTTTTTAAACCCTTACCTTGATTCCCTATAAGATATCGAGCATTCAGGTCATTGCTGATGTTGAGGTTCTTCAAGAATACACTGTAATCCACTGCAGTCTCTTGATCAAGGCTGTAGTGTTTGGAAAACCTGAAATACAAATTAGACATCCGGTCACATCAAGTCTGAAAGGAAGCAACTTTGAACTGTCTTTTACCCTAGGAGTGGCACTGGAATTAAAAAAAAAAAAAAAAGAACCCACTTGGAAGGAGACCACTTCCTCTGCCCGAAGATGGATATGGAGGGGCCTTGCCAACCTCAACCTACAGCACCTCCTCCTTGGGAGTGGGGCAGCCAGACCCTCAGGCCAGCATCTTCCTGTCATCAGTGGTGGGAGATGATCTGAGCAAGGAGGCAATCAATATAACATCTCCTGGCTAGGGAACCCAGGTCTGGAGGGCATAGGTGGCACCCATGATTGTTTTTTTGACCCCCTTCACTAGGGAGAAACTGAGGCACACAGCAAATGGCTGAGGAAGCGCAGCTTTTCTTGAAGCATTCAATAGTGTTGACATACAATGAGAAGTTTAAAACACAAAAATCATTGGCTATCCCTAGAATATAGTGAAATGAATAGGAGGCTTGGATTTCTCATGGATTTTTCTATTATTCAAATCTGCTGCTTAATAAATGTTTTTTCTAAATAATTTCTAGGTTATTACATTTCTAAAAAAAATCATGTTTTTTTAAATGTTTGGTTATATTATCTCCATATGTGTTAAGTTTCTATAATTATCTAATTTCATGCTTTCTAAAAATTTGGTAATGATTACTTAAAGTATTTGTTTTTCTGTTTTCCAAATTTCACACAGAATGTCATAGATGCATTTCAGTGCCTACCTATTTTTCCACTTTGATGACGCTTGTCTGTTGTTTTAAAAAGAAAAATTATCTGGAGCTGATGACAGCTGCCAGATGTTGGCAGAGAAAGTCCCTAACCAGCTCTATCCTTCCTCCTCAGCCTCCCTCCTGCAAACTGGACAACTCAGAGTTGGCATCTAACAGGGGCCAGTCCTGGCCTCTTCCTGCAGGCAGGAATTCCTGGCAGAATCCAGCTGTGCAGAAAGGGCAAGGCTGCCTGCTGCTCAGGCAAACACAGTGTGCTGGTGAGAGGCTCCTCCCAGCCTTGAAAACATCTGGGAAAAATCCAACATGCCTCAAGTCTGGTCTTTCTCCAAGGATACTCTTTTCACCTGGTGTGGGTACATTCAGAGGGCTGTGACACAGTGGAGGAGCACAGGTAGCAAGGCCTGGGACAGCGTCCTGTGGAGGATGACTCTAAAATGAGCCTTAGCACCACACAGGAAGGCAGCTGCCCAGCACACCTATGCCAGAAAAGGTGGAGACACACAATTATCAGAGCCATGGTCCCAGGAACTAGAATTCTGGGCAGGGAGGCACGGACTACAGGAAGCAGCAGGCAAGTGGGTCTCTCAGGAAGGCGGATTTAGAGAAGGGAGGACTCAGCTGGAAAACCTCTCCAGATTTTGCATTTACCTGGAAAAGAGTCCATGGGCACTCGCTGCTCGGGCTGCAGGCCGGCCTTCCATGGCTTGTTGGTTCATTTGTTTGGAAGGCTGCTCAAGCCAGGCACCAGTGGCTCATGCCTGTAATCCTAGCTACTCAGGAGGCTGAGATCTGAGGATCACAGTTTGAAGCCAGCCAGGGAAAGTCTATGAGACTTTTATCTCCAGTAAACAACTCAGAAAAAGCTAGACATGATGCTGTGGCTCAAGTGGTAGCACGCGTGAGCACAAAGAAGCTCAGAGTCAGTGCCCAGGCCCAGAGTTCAAGCCACAGGACAGGCAAAAAAAAAAAAAAGATTGCTCAAAAATTACAGAGATACAATACTTTATCCTGGGGGGTAATGGAGGGTGGTATGGGGTGAATTGAGATGGACTAAGGGAAGTCTTGGTCAAGTATAAAGCATGGAGGTGATCAAATCTGTACCTTCAAATTTGGTACGGGCTGAAAGGTGTTCAGCAGCTAAACTATGAAGGAACAAAGGGCATTGGGGAACCTTTATGACTGTGCCACACACTTGTGACTACTGATGGCACCATTATGACTTTCACACACTTGTGACTACTGATGGCACGCACCTGTGCCACATACCTTTGACCATTCATATATCACTATCCTTTGTGGTAGACTTCTCTGGTTCCTTCCTTCCTTCCTTTCCTTCTTCCTCCCTCTCCTCCTCCTCTTCCTCGTTCCCTCCCCTCCTTCCTTATTCTTCTTGTACTAGTCCTGAGCCAGAATTCAGGGCCTGGGCGCTGTCCCTGACCTTTACAGCTCATAGCTGGCGCTCTGCTACTTGAGCTACAGTTCTACTTCTGGCTTTTTGGTTGTTTATTGGAGACAAGAGTCTCATGGACTTTTCTGCCCATGCTGGCTTCAAACTGTGATCCTTGATCTCAGCCTCCTCAGCAATGAGGATTCCAGCCTAAGTCACTGTGCCTGAGTCTCAGGCAGGGCCATCCAGGGAGCTTCCCAAGGTTCTAGGACTAGGGTACAGACTTGACTTCAAAGCCCATCCATTCCTATCCCACACCAAGGGCCTAACACAGATCTTAAATAGAAAGCCTTGAGATGAAAGGATTCATAAATGCTTTGTGTTTTCTGTACTACAATTAACAAAGCAGAATTAATACTAAAGCAGCACGCGCAGAAACAGCATATTCTGGAGCTTCAATAAAGAGCACATTAAACAACTGAAGAAATATTCTCCTTTTGATGCCCTGTGTGTCTGGTCTACAGGAGGCAATTGCAATTCTATTATGTGAAGTTTCTCAAGCCGTAGTATGAAAACGGCATTGTTTGGGGGTTTTAAAAAAATTGCGAATAAAAATTTGTGGAGTTCTTTATTATTCAACCCTTAAGAGATGGGGAAACAGTAACATTTTTTATAGATTTACTAGGTTGGAGACTGCAGTGCCAAACACAAGGTTTATTGTCAAATAAAACACTGCTTTGTTTTTTGATTGCCTGTTTTAGAAGAGTGCTGCCTCTGTTCTATAATTGCACGCACAAAATTATTTAATTTGTTTTGTTTGGATCTTATTCTGGACATTTTCCCAGCCGGAAAGGATGTAAAAATTAAAACATCTATTATGTCTTTTTTTATTCTGAGGTAGGTTTATAAAGAGAAAAAAAGAAGACAAAATGTTCAAAAGAGTGGGAACTGATGTTTTTTAAGCCTCCTTGCTGTTAGCCTGGGCAGCCCCCTGTGCTATGGACACACCTTGTCTATCTCTGCTTTTTTTTTTGGGGGGGGGGGTCCGGTCATGGGGCCTGAACTCTGGGCCTGGGGGCTGTCCCTCAGCTCTTCAGCTCAAGGCGAGCATGCTACCACTTGAGCCACAGCGCCACTTCTGGCTTTTTTTTCCCTCCTGCTTATGTGGTACTGAGGAATCAAACCCAGGGCCTCATGCATGCAAGGCAAGTGCTCTACCACTGAGCCACCTCCCCAGCCCTATCTCTGCTTTCTTCCACAGTTATCCTACTGTCTTCACTGTGTGTGTATGTGTGTGTGTGTACATGCACGTGCATGCACACACATCCATACTAGAGCTTAAACTCAAGGCCTCATACTTTTGCTTAAGCTTTTCTTCTCTAGGCTGACACTCTACCACTTGAACCACATCTCCACTTCCATCTTTTTGCTTCTTAATTGGGAACCAGAGTCTCTCAGATTTGTTTGCCTGGGCTAGCTTCAAACTAAGATCCTCAGATCTCAGCCTCCTGAGTAGGTAGGATTACAGGTATGAGGCACCAGTGCCTGGCTGGTTTTCTACAGCTATCACATTAAATTCTCTCAAGCATAACAAATCATACTAAATAAAAGGTCTTATTATCTTTAAGTAGTTGTACAAAGGAAATACCATATAACAAAGCAAGTGATAGAGCATCACAGCCTTGAGTGGAAAAAGCCAAGTGAAAGTGAGAGGCCCTGAGTTCAAATTCCAGTAAGGGGGAGGGAGGGGGGAAGGGGGAGAGAGAGAGAGAGAGAGAGAGAGAGAGAGAGAGAATGTTATTTCCTATCCCCTGCCATACATACACACACACACACACACACACACAGAGCAACAATGGACTTGAAAAGAGAATAAAATTTCTGCCGTGACATCAGACAGGGGAGCCACAGTGGGCCCATGGATGAAGGAGTAAATCCTGGGTTGTTTGGTTCACCTCCAAACCTCAGGGTGAGTCAAGCAGACCTGTGAAATGGAAATGTGCAGCCGCCAAGCGTGATACCAATCAGGAAAGAAAGGCGACTAGTGAGGGGACGGTCAATAACCAATGTTCATATCTGCTGGCCGTAACACCCAAAATAGACAAGGAGCCCAAGAAACCAATGAGGAAATGCTCAATATCCCAGGCCATAAAGAAATGCAAATCAAAACACCTCTGAGATTCCATCTCATCTCAGTTAGATTGGTCAACATTGTGAATTTGAACAACAAATGTTAGTGGGGATGTGGGGAAAAAGGAATCCCATTGCACTGCTGTTAAGAATGTAAACTAGTACAACCACTCTGGACAGCAGTCTGGAGGTTCCTCAGAAAACTAAACATAGATCTTCCCTACGACCCAGCCATACCACTTGTGGGCATCTACCCAGAACATCACAAGCCTGGATACATCTGTGTTGCTGCACTATTCACAACAGCCAAGTTGTGGAAACAGCACAGATGCCCCACAATAGATGAACAGATCCAAAAAATGTGGTACTTATAAACAATGGAATTTTATACAATTATTAGAAAGAATAATATGATATTTGCAGGGAAATGGATGGATCTTGAATAAATCATGTTAAGTAAAGTATGTCAAGCTTAAAGTAAGTCAAGAAAAATGGCACATGGTTTCTTTTTCTCTCATAGGCAGAAGCTAAATGTAAGCTAGACCTGGGATATGAAAAATTATACAGGACTCTAGGCATTCACACACAGTGAGACCAAAGGAGGACCCTCTTAGGGGAAGAACACAAAGGTGCAATGCCTGTGTGTGTCTGAGTATATAAACATAATATTTATCAAAATGAACTCTAGGAAACAGAAAAAAAATCCACAGGCCTGATGACAGTACCCAACCCAGGATGCTCATGTCCCACTTTGGGGAATGTCCGGGGAGCCTCCTGGAACCCACCCACGTGCCCATCTCATTTGCCACCAGCCCCCAGGACTCACATCTGGTACTCCTCTTCCTTCATCTTCAGGCAGAAGGTCTCCAGGATTCGCCTCAGCTCCTGAGGGCGCACCCGGCCTGTGTTGTTGATGTCTATGAGCTGGAAGGCTTTGATAATCGTTTTCTTGTTCTTGTGAACCTACATTTAAAAAGGGATTCAGGAAAAGTCAAAAGATCCAGTGCGTGAAACCCAACTGGTCATTAAAAAAATGAAAAAGTTTTTTTGAACACTTCTTATAAAAATAAAATGTTTTCAAAGATTCACAGTGGCAGGCATTGCAAAATGACATGTCTTTGGGAGAAAAAAAAGGACACTTTACGTTTATTGAATGTTTTCAAGGCAATTTTCTCAGTAAATAGTCTTAGTTTGTTGGTTTTTTTTTTTTAAAATAAAACTCTAATGCAAAGCAGTAAGCCTCATGAACAACTCATTTCCTTTCAGGGCTACATAAAAAAATCTTTTTTGTTAATTGATGCTTCAAAACTACAGTTCTGGCATAGCTGGACTGGTACAATTTGTATTTTTCATAGCCATATGCAAACTATTTTTACCAGGAACTAGAAGATATGACTGTATATTTCAGTCCCTCTGAATTTTTAAAAAATATACCATGAGGAGTTTTATGGAGCTCTGCCCCAATTCAGCAAATAATGGCATGTGCACGGTGTCTGATGAGGCCTCTCAGAATCATAGAGGGTATGGACAGCCATCTCTTCTGTTCAGAGAAAGGGAGCTCTGGGTAGACCCCGTAAGCAGGCACCGAGCTATGTAAGCACGCACACACACATGCACACATGCACACACACACACATACACACACACTCACACACACGTTTCCCCATTTGTAGATCAGGAGATGGAGATTCAAGAGGCTTCATTTCAGTTCAATGGCATGACGCTGGCTCAACCTCATGTTTATGCTTTCCCTATGCTACTCTGTGGGAGGATGGGGAGGATGGGGAAGCACACACAGTTGGGGTGGTGGAGGTAATAGTCAAATAAGAGGCTCAGGGGGCAGCTAGTGGAGGCCTTCAGAGAAAAGAACAAACACTTCTGGACACAGGGACCTGATGCCTCTGTGGCTGGGTCCATGGTCAGCCTGCAGTGAGCTCCCTCCAGCGAGGACAGGAAAGCTCTGGGTAAGGCAGGCCAGGGGCTCGGTGGGTAGGGTGGGAAGTGAGGGCAAAGTCTGGATTCTGAGGAGAATCAGTGGTCCCAGGAGAAGTTCAGGGAGACCCATAGCAACAGGTGTGTCTCTCATCGGCACCACTCCCCTCCTCCCCACACTCTCAGAATGTACCCCTGGCTGTCTTGCACTCACTGATCCTGGCCTACCCAGCAAAGGAGCCTCTCTCACAGGTCCTCCAGAGGTCCTGAGCAGCCATGGGATGGTGGGGGGCTGGCCCCCATCTTGAGGCTGACCAAGGACAGTGTTCCTGTCAGTTGATGCGGGGAGCTCCCATCTCCACCTTCTGTCTCCACCCCGCCCTGCAGCAGCTCTGCAGACTTCAGCCCCTCCGGGCTGGACAGTGCCAGTCCCAGTCCCTCTGGACGCCTGATCTGACCCAGACACTGCCCCAGCTGGGTCCTCACTCCGGAGGCTGCTGCCCCCTGCCCAAACTCCATGCCTTGTTATGACAATAATAAGGTCATGATCACACTCAAGACACCCCACTTTCCTTTCCAGCTTACTCTAGGAGTGTCCCACGCAGCCTTCACCCACCTCACCCTTACTCTTCCCTTCCTCCTAACTGCCTATCCTATCCTTCCTCCCTGGGACTCTACCACTCTCCTCCTTCAGTTTCAAGTAAATCCAGTTCCACGTGGTCTGACGGTGCCAGAGACACATGCATCACTGCATGCTAGCCCTCCTCTACCATTGTCCACACACACACACACACACACACACACACACACACACACACACACACACCATCCATACAGCTGCCTTTAGTTTTTTCTGTTGGAACTAGGGATGGAACCTGGGGCCTTGGACATGCTAGGAAAGCATCTAGCACTGAGCCATGTTCACTGATAGATGGAACTGGACAGTAACTAGAACTAGAAACACTCTTCTCCCCCTCGACATCTACCTCCTAAAACACAAAATATTGGAGCTGCTCGTGATGTCAAGCTCAATGCATCATCTCCCTCCCCAAACACACCCTGCAGCTTTGAGATAGCCTGTGACCCAGGACCATATCAGCTATGGCCACATCTGCTGACACAGAGGCTGCTAAAACTGCAACTCCACCTTCGCACAAAGAGCCCCGTTCTCCCTGTTCCCATCCTTCCCCCGCTAACATGCAGCCACCCTGACTTCTACCCCTCCTCTCCTTCCTGTCTGATAACAAGGACCCTCGTGGCAAGGAGGGCATGCCTCTTTCTCTTCAGCCGGGCTGAAGGAGACTTGGTTGCCCTCCCCCAGGTTCCTGTTGGACGGTTGAGTTTGCCTTTCTGCTCCTTTCCTTTACTCGTAACCCTGATGCTTGAAATATGTGCCCACACTGCCTGCTTTACCCACTCTCCCAACTTCCAGCTTCTATTCCTCTCTGCTTTACAGGAAAAAGCAAACCAACTGAAAGACCATGTTCCTGGGCTCCCCAGCATTCACAGTCCATCTGCCTTCACACCCATGTGCTGTGACCCTGGTCCTGGTCCAAGGGAGAGACCTCTGTGACCCCACCTACAGCACATGGCTGGCCAAGGAGTTCTCTAGCCCCTCCCTTCCCCGCCACACCTCCCCTATCACACTGGGCTTGGAACAAAGCCTCCTTGCATCCTCCACTTAGTGAGCCTTGTGCCTGAGGCTCACACCAGTAACCTTACTGACTTGGGAGGCTGAGAATAGAAGGATCGCAGTTAGAGGACAGCTCTGGACGAAATGTTAGTCGGGTTCAGAGGCACAACTCCTGACATCCTAAACTGTTTGGAAGAGTAAGGTTGGGAGGATCATGGCTCAGGAACAGCACATGCACTGGCTTAGAAAAGGTGAGTTGGGAGAAGCTAAGCCTGCAGGGGGAGCAGCAGGGTCTGGTGTGGCTACAAAGCAGTGAAGACAAGGACACAGACAGGGAGTGGAGTCCGGCCAGGCAGCCCTGGAGGCCATCTGGAGGGGGTGGGCCGGTGGGAGCCCTGCAGGGCTTTGAATCAAGATGGGCTTAGACAGACAAGTGTTCAGGCAAGAATGCTTTGTGAGGTAAGGTGTGGCACTGGAAGGACACTGGTAGCCATGTGGGAGGGGAGGTGGTAAGTGAGACGGGGTAGATTCAGGAAATGTTCTCAGTCCGGACAGGGACAGGCTCTCTCAATAGGCTGGAGTTGTTGTGAGCAAAAAGGAATAGGTGGAATGGGTTTGCCTTCATCAAGGAGGAGACAGGGCGGGGAGCAGTTGGGTTTGGAAAATGAGAGGAAGTATGAGGCAGACATCAAATAGGTGATTGGATATTCTGGGACATTCTTCCTGGTACCTGCTGGTTCCTGTCCGCTCCTCATTTGGGTCTTAGCCCCAGATGTCACCTTATCAGTCAGACCTCCCCTGACCCCACAGAGAAACAGGATACCCACTGGCAGTGTCCCCGTCTCCAGAGGCCCCCCCCCCCACCAGCTAGCCAGGATCTTGTGTGGCCTCTCCCTCTACTTGAGCCCTTGGGGATCCTTGCTGGTCCCAGGGTCTAGGGCAGCATGGGGGTCAGTCATGGATTGTGGTCGGACCCCTCCTCAGCTCAGGACCAGCCCCGAATGGAAGCGTGATGACAGCAGTGTTCGTACCATTGCAGCCTGGTTGCATAGGCTCACAGGTTGACAAATGCCTATTGTGTGCAAGGCCCCAAACTAAGTACTCCAGAGCCACCACGCCCTCCCAGAGAGGGATCAGCAAGTGCCGGGGAGCAGGAGAGGTAGGCCAGGCTGTGTAAGTCCATCTTTTACTCCCCTACCTGGTCTAAAAGATGGAGCTCTAACCAGCAGCACTTGCACCCACAGCTGCAGAAAAACCTCAGCCCTTGTCGGCTGCCTAGGTCCTGTCTACCTCTTCTGGGAAAGTGGGGGTGGGGTGGGGAAGGACACATGTGATGTACCTCCTTTAAACCCCTGAGTACCCCATATGGGTCTACAAACCTGGCATGCAGGAACACCCCCCCACCCCCCGCCGCACCCCGTCAAGATACGCCTCCAAGTTTCCTATCACTTGTCAGATGGAAGTTTGGCACCATCCGAAGAAGGGCGCTACAGATGGCCAGGCTGATCAACAGCAGAGAAGTTAGGGCCCTGGTGCACGGGACTGGGCCAATGTGGCAGGGGAGGAGAAGGAGCTAAGGGCTCAGGGATGGTGACCAAGACGGCCACCCCCACCCCCCACCTCTGTTCCCCGGGCTCCAGCCACACTGAGCCACGGGGAACTCCTTCCTGCTTCTGAAAGCACAGATCATACATTTCTACTCTGGGCTTCTCTGCTGGACAGCTCCTGCCCTGCTCCACTTGGGCCTCCATCACAGGCGGCTTCCAGGGAGGGAGGCCTAGAGCACAGCTCACCCAAGGCACAGGGCCACATTTCTGGCAGTCCTTTCCAAACCCAGCGTGCTTCTCAATAAAGAAAATCTACTCCTGCCCTGAAGGTTGCCCCAGGAGACCTGCCTGAACAGGGCTGACCCCACTTCCTCACTATTTGGGGAGCAGTCAACATTTGCTTACCACCCAGCCTTGTACACCTGCAAGTGAAGAGTGGTTCTGACATTTTTAAATGGTTGGGGGAAAAATCAAAAAGAAGAACAGTATTTCGTGACAAGTGAGTTATGTGAATTTCAAATTTCAGGATCCATAAATAGATTCTATTGGCATACAGCCGCTCCCACTCATTTGCATATCGTCTGCGCTGATTTCCCCTAGCAGGGCTGAGTGGGTGGCTTGGGTAGAACCCTCCAGAACAAGACAAGAACAGTCCTCCTGGCCTCTCACTGGTCAGTCCTGGTCCAGTCCTGCACACAACTCCTCACTTGAAGCTAAGCAGGTGAGGCCTTTGGAGAAGCCCTAGAGACATGAAGAGTTTAAGAAAAAACCCAACGCAGAGCTAGTTAGCACTTGAAAGTGCACAAGTCAGGAATGGACTCCAGGCCCCTGCGGGAGGCCATATCTCCCCC